AGGCGCCGTGTTGCAGCAAGACGACGGCAATGGCTATAGACCCGTAGAGTTCATGTCAGCGAGGATGCCCTGYGAGAAGGTCGCTACCTCCACTTGGCCCATATGTCGGTCGCGGGGCATTGTCGTTAACACCCCGCAAGTGTCGGAGGCCCGGGGTGTCGGACCTGAAAGGCTGACATGGCCAGCCAAAACAATCTTTTTTGTTTTGCTGGCTGGTCGGCGTGAAACGACACACATGGCATATTCAGGCTCGGCATCGATAGTTGGGCCAAGTACTAGTGGTTCTTCCTTCCTACATTAGCTTCTTTCTTCCTACACATGAGGAATTATGTACATCCTACAAGAATGTCAAACCTGCCTGAATTCATGATAAGAGGGTAAGGTCATGTGGCAGTAAGCTGCAGCAGACATTTCCCAGGCATGCAAATTTCCACCTGTCCACCTGCATCTGGAGAAAACGAGATGCATGGGTGGATTTGGTCAGCTTCTCAGCTTGCCTGTTACATGACAGCTTGATGGCGGTCAGGTACTCAACAATATATTCCATCAGCCAGTTACGCAGACAATAAGCATCCAAGCACAGTATCATTATATGATACTAAATATTATATTATACAAGAAGTGTCAGCGCGGCTCTGACGACATCAGAAAAGGGTATTGATGGAATTCCTAAAATAATTTATTAACACCGCAACCAAAAGAGTTAGAGCTAGTGCGACTGCGCCCGCATCACAGAATGAATGTAAAAAATGGCCGAAGGGTTGAAAACCATGCTGCAACAGAAACCTGTGTACGCAAGTGTGCACTGTCATGTTTGCTATACACAACTAAACAAAAAAAGAATAACCGTGTGTGTGTGCTATTTGCAGGTTAAAAGGCAACGGACTGGAGATATCATCATTGAGCTGCACGGCCCACGCCCCCAAGTAATTCAGAAATATTCTATTTCCTTCATCTGATCTAGATCCGGACTTTGGCCGGTATTTCAGCAGTTCATGGGTGTATCAACTGTGCTTGGCCTTCAATCAGGCCACCGGGAAAAGAAGGAAGAATATAGAGTGGGCTCAGTGGGAGAAAAATAAAACTCGCAAGGGGAGAGGGAGGGGGAGAGAGACAGACAGACAGCTGCAAGGCCCCAGGCAATTCAGAATGATTTTATTGTGTTCATCTGACGGCCCCAGGCAATTCAGAATGATTTTATTGTGTTCATCTGATTGCATCTGGATTTGAACATTAGGCTGTATTTCAACAGTTCAGGGGTGAACCACTCTCTCTTGCATCGCATCTCCATCGCACATCGTGCCATTCCCTCTCTTCCTCTCTCCTCCCCTATCTCTCTTACAAATTTTCAAAAACAAATAAGAACAAACACGTGCACCACATGGCCCCAGAACAGAAGACCGGGCTGGCAACGAGGAGCAGGAGAAGAACCAGTAGGGACAACTACGACGACGAGGGCAATGGGTTGAGGCCCTTGAGGGGAAGAACGAGGTTGAGGAGAATGACGAGGACAGGAAGACGGCGATGAGCACCCCTGAACTCTCTCTCTCTCTCTCTCTCTCTCTCTCTCTCTCTCTCTCTCTCTCTCTCTCTCTCTCTCTCTCT